GGGGGGAGGAGGGGCAGGGGAGAGGGGGAGGAGGGGCAGGGGAGAGGGGGAGGAGGGGGGCAGGGCGGGCCTGGAGCTGTGCGACCCCAGCGACTCCCTGCTGACAGGCCGGGGCCTCGCAGAAGCTCATCTCCGTCGTCCTGCGGGAGCACGACGGGGTGCCCTCCGGCCGCCTGTACCGCGTCAGCCCCTCGCAGATGGTGAGTGGGGGCAGCGGGGCGCCCCTGGGCTGCCGGGGGGGCCGCGCGTAACCGCGGCCGCCGTGTGCGCCAGGTGGTCCCGGCGGGGGGCAGCGGCACCGTGTCCTTCTCCTTCACACCCGTGGTCCTCGGCCCCGAGATCCCGCACAAAGTGGAGTGTGTCGGCTATGCCCTGGGCTTCATGAGCTTGGACGACGAGGTGAGCCCTCCTGGCCCCGGGGTGGGGTGGGGGGCGCAGCCTCTGCCAGGCCCGGGCAGCACGCTGCCTTCTCAGCTCAGGGGCCCCCGGCGATCAGTCTTGGCCTCGGCAGGTGGAGAGAGAGCTCCCTGGGCGGCGGCGGCGGCGGCAGGACTTTGCCGTGGGGCCCCTGAGGCTGGACCTGCACAGCCACGTGAGGCCCGCGCGGTGAGTCGGCCGGGCCCCCGCCCCGTCTGGGGGGCACCTTCCCTCTGGGAGCAAGGAGACGGGAATGGGAGGGAGAAGCCAGCAGGGGAGCCCAGGCGAAGGCTGGCCAGGGCCGGATGCGCAGGGCGGGGACCGCGGGAGCCCCCGGAGCCCAGGAGCCCAGCCTCGCCCGTTGCTGGCAGGCTACGCGTGGAGCCGGACTGTGGCCGTGGCATGGAGTTCTGGCACCAGGCCAGCGACCTCATCCCCAAGCAGCCCTGTTCCGGGGTGAGTGTGCCGCCCCCCCAGCCCTGCCCCGGGGTGAGTGTGCTGCCCCCCCAGCCCTGCCAATCCACCCGGACCCCCACCTCTGTGGCCACCCAGGTGCTGAGCGAGCTGGTGACCACCCGCCACCTGAAGCTGACCAACACCACAGAAATCCCACAGCACTTCCGGCTCCGGGTCTCCAGGCCCTTCTCGGTTTCCCAAGGCGGGGCCGGCGGGGGGCGGGGGCGGGAGCAGGAGCCGGCCTCGGCTGGGGAGCTGCTGGTGCTCGGCCCCACGGAGAACATGCTGGTGAGTGGGCGGTCTCCTTCCCCGCACGCGCGGGCACCTCACGTACCCGTCACCCTCGCACCCTCACGCAGACGTTTGCATCCAGACACGCAGCCTCTCGTGTCACCCGCTTCCAGAGCTTCGGTGAGCAGGCGGGTTCTCCTCCAGAATGTGAGGCCACCCCAAGGACCCCCTCCTGGAGGGGCGCGGGGAGACCTCTGCATGAGAAGGGCACCCCCTGCTCACTTAGCATTTGCTTCCTCCTCCAGAGGTAAACCGAGGGCAGCCCCAGAGCACAGGCAGAGGCCCGGTTCTACCGGAGAACCCATAAAACCGCAGGCTGCCGCCAAGTAGTTAAAGGTCCCTTTAAAATGCCTCAGGGAGGGGTGCCTGGGTGGCTCAGTTGGTTAAGCGTCCGAGACTCTCGATGTGGGCTCAGGTCACAATCTCGGGGTTCCCGCGATGGAGCCCCGTGTAGAGATCTGCACAGCCGGCTGGGATTCTCCCTGCTCCCCCCAAATACACATTAAAAGGAAATGGGGAGCCCGAGGGCTCTCAGATAAAGGACACCTCATGACAGCACTACCTCACCCCCCACGTGCTGATGGAGCCCAGCATCTGATCCTGACCAGAATTCTGGATCCAAACCCGAGATTCTCCACCGCCCTCCCCACCCCCGGTCCTGCCCAAGCCTGTGCCTCCACCCTGCGCCCAGGCAGAGCCCTGGCACCCTCCTCGCCAGCCCCACGCCCTCAGTCTCCCTGTGTCCCCACTCTCCATCCCACACCCACATCTTGGGCTAGGACAATGCTTTCCAAGCCTGGCAATACAGCCGTGGCCTTTATTTTTTAAAGTTTTTTTTTTTTTTTTTTAATATTTTTATTT